AGCCAATGGAGGAGGTCCTTGTGGGGGAGCCATTGCGTGAACGGCGGCCGACGGGGGTTCCCGACGGCTCGCAGCGCCGCCGCCGCGGCTCGAGTCATTGTGCAAACGTTTTCATTATGTTGTACAGCTCCGACTCCGGGTCTCCTGCCGCCGCCGCCGGGCCCAGATGCGACGGTGGGGATGGTCGCTGGCAGAGGCTCATGAGAGAGAGAGAGAGAGAGAGAGTGAGGAGAGAAATGATTCGAAAGATGCAAATGGGAGAAGAAGGAAACAAAAACGAAAACTGAGAAAACGATCTTAATTCGTTTTCAGATTTTTAAAAAAAGACAAAAGCGTTTTTGTTTTCAATTTTCAGAAAATTTTACACCAAACGCTTTTTGTCTACCCATTTTCATTTTTAACCTCGAAAAACGGGAAAAACGGAAACAAAAACGAAACCAAATAGGCCCGTAGGTTTCTATTTTTTTATAAATGGGAGAAACGGCTCAAAGTTTTTTTTTTTTTTTTTTTTTTTGAGAAAAGAAAAGCTCTTCGAGAATATTCATGAATCATGATCATGCGAATGAGGTGGCTGATCTCGAAAAGGGAGTGGAGAAAACGATTTGGATTTTTATTCAATTTAGGATTATTTTGTTTTAAAGATTATTTCGATATTAGGAGCATAATTATCTTGTTTAGGATACTTAGTTCTTTTTACAATTTGGGGATAATCTAAAGTTGTTTTCGAATTAGATTGTGTATCGGTTTTGTGCTATATAAATAGGACATTCAGTATTTACCATTCATTATCCACTTAAACAAGTCTTGTTTCCACTATTCTCAGTCCTTCACGTAATTTGTCCCCGGAAAATCACATTCATTTCCTTGCAAATCAATATTCTGCAACAAATACTAATCAATGGCGAGCAAACCATCTCATCCGTCAAAAAAGGGCTCGGCCGTGGCCGAGGGTGGCTCCGCCGCCGCCATTGCCGGAATGCGGCGTCGTCCGCATGCGAAATCACAGTGGGCCGATAGCTCTAGACCCCGTGTTGAGACCAATTACGTGCTGAGTTTCTACACCGACGACTCTGAAGGATTTTTCAAGCTTAGCCGGAAAGGCGTGATCGTGATGTGCTTTTGCTTCATCGGCTTCATCTGCGCTCTTCACATCATCGACAAACGTTTTCGCTCCAAATCTGCACCTGGCCAGTTCTGATTGCCGAATTGCTGATTTCGATTTGGATTGTGTTATATACGCTAGCAAAATAGTACATAAATTAACGACCTTTTTTTTCACCCTCTTTTAAAAGTGAATTTTGAGCCGTAGTTAATGCTACTACTTTTAGGCAAATTTTATTTATTTATTTATTTTTCAAGTTCTTGAGTTTGCGCTTGCTTCTTGATTTTCTGATTGATGGGATAATAAATGATTTGTATCTTCTTCTTTCTAACTTTTTCGTTGATCTTGCTTAGTTATTTGTTTATATATATCTTGTATATATAAGATATATCTTGCTTACTTCTTCGTTGGTGACAGTACTGAGAATAAACGTTTTTAAACAACAAATCATTTTCCGATTTTAACGGCAAGGACATTAAACTATTTAAATGGAAAAAACATGATGGGCGACGCCAGAAAAGTATGCTAATAAACCAAGTTAGAGATTTCACACATATATATTTATATTTTGAAGGAGAGAGATTTCAAATATTATCACATGAGATGGAGTAAATTTAGAATTTTAGAATTTAAAGAAGAGAAACTACCAATTTATCATATTTCATACTTGTAATATTTTTAAAATGTTGCCATGTTCAACTTATTATTTAAATTTTGTAACATGTGAAAAGAGCCCAATTGTATAAGCAGATGTGCTTTCTATGTGTAAACGACAACTACCCTAAAAATTGTTTAAGATGAACACGGCATGTACTTATGGACACATGATTTTCTAATTAAACTAATACGACATGTTGCTTCGGTCTTGGACACAATCTCCACATTAAACCACAACAATATCTTTTGAAAACGGCGTGTCGTTCTTGAAGACGATGACAGCTTGCAGATGGTGTATGTCATCATGTACAAAACATGGATTTAGGAAGTTTTTCTATATCTTTCATTATACTAGGAATACACCATATATACAGAGGTGGAATGTGAACCAGTTAGGAAAAAGTTTTATCTTAGGCTAGTGATCACGTTGACCTGAATACAAGAGATTTACAACAAATAAGGTAACTAAATATTCCTATAATCACTCTAATTACATAGGAAATACAGTTCATGCCAACACTCCCCCTCAAGTTGGTGCATAGATATCTCTAATGCCTAACTTGTCTAGTGAGCTGTAGAAGCTTTTACTTGAAACAACCTTTGTAAGCATATCTGCGAGTTGGTCTTCTGACTTGACAAAAGGAAATCTGATGATCTTTTCTTCAAGGTTCTGTTTGATAAAGTGTCTATCTACCTCGATGTGCTTGGTACGATCATGTTGAACCGGGTTATGAGAAATCTGAATTGTTGCCTTGTTATCACAAAACAAATTCATTTTAGTATTTGGTGCAAACCCAATCT